GTTGGACTAGATGACCGCTGGGTACCTTCCAGCTCTACGATTCTAATGATTTGTGTAAGGAAGAAGACTCTGGTGTGATAGGTGAGCTTGCAAAGCCCACCCCCCCCCACCAGTGCCGAATTTAAGTATAAGCTAAACAAGCTCTAGCTTAAGGCCCCAATCTCTTGGGGGGCCCCCCCAAAAAAATTAAAAGGACCAAAACCTGGATGTACATTTCCACAACATAAGATAAAAACAAATAAAATAAAACCTACACACAGCGACAGTGTTTTGTGTTGTGTAGGCTCCTGTGATGTAAGTCATGGGTCCCGCCTGCTAGCCTGCTCCCTAAAATATCCCTGGTTTGCTCCTTTCTATATTTAGGGTGCCGACATTCTGCATGGACTGGTAGCATGACAACATGTGCAAAGGGCTTGAGATACTTCTTCTTAATTATATTTCAGTTCAACAATTACTTTGATAAAATACATATTTTGTTATGTGCAAATGGCTTGAGATACCTCTTAGGTCCATCAATGACCATATAGCATCTATTCAACACAAAAACAGCCACAATTTGTTGTGGACAAAGGACAGCTGGACATAGAAAGAGCCCCGTTACCTTCAGGAGGTGAGGGCCTCATCAAAACTCAGTCCAGCCCTGGAGGGGGGAGAGAGGGGCAGTGAAGACCCTGGGGGCATCTATGAGTCCCGGACCCCATGCCAAACCTTAAAGGGCTCAGGTGCCCCTACACACAGAGCAGAGGCAGACCCCACCCTCTAGGGCTAGCCCCACCTCGGCGCTGGTTTGGAAGCATATCTGAGCTCCGTTCCTGGAGGGGGGTCTTCCTACTGCTTTTGGGGTCACCTGCTGGCCCGATGAATGTGCCCCTACAAGCAAGCAAGGGGCAGCTCCCGGATTAATGCCCTTATGCAGGAAGCCCCGTTCCTGGCTGTCACAGCTTGGAGCAACTGAGGGACAGGTGCCAATCTAATCCTTCAATGAACCACTTGGGCCAGAGCAGCATCTGGTGCCAGGGGGGTGAATGTGGATCCGTGGGGCACCTTGTGGGTCTTCGGGACTTTTCAGTTTAGAAGAAAGGCGAGGCGCAGGTGACACGATTTATGGAAAGAGTGACGTTTCTCTCGCTCTCTCAGAACACTGGAACTTGCAGACATTCCAGGAAGCTGAATGGCGGAAGATTCAGGACAGAGAAAGTGAAGTACTTCTTCATGCAACGCAGACTGTGGAACTCCCTCCCACATGAGCCAGCCATGACCACCAACCTAGATGGCTGTAAAGAATATTAGACAAATCCCTGGAGGAGGAGAGAGCTATTGAAGGCTGCTAGCCAGGAGGGCTCTGCTCTGCCCTCATGAATGGTGGGGTGCAGGGGGCCAGCGATGCTTCTGAACATCAGTTGCTGGAAACTACAGGAGAGGAGAAGGTTCTTGGGCTGGAACCCCGCTTGCAAGTTTCCCAGAAAAGGCTCCTGCTCAGTCCCTTTCTTTTTGAGCAAAACTGCCTGTCAGGTTGGGGCGAACGATCCCACTTTGGGGTATTTTGAGACACAGGGGTCAGCACACCCATGGAGCCCCGTCCTGTTGAGTCTCCCTCCCTCTTTTGCCTTCCTTAAATTATCCACTGAAATCTTTTCTTCATAAGGAAGTTGGCCACAGGCGCTCTCAGAGGCCCCCCCCCATCTCTTGCCTGCTGGTGGCCTCCCCTCCCCCTCCCTCCCCCCTTCTTCTCCAGGCCTGGCAAAGGGAGGGGGGCTGCCTGCTTTCTCCCCCTTCCCTTATTTGGCAATGAAATCTGCTTCCAAACCCCAGGAGAGGAGGAAATATATCTTGCCCCTCAAGACTCCAGTCTCCCTGCTAAAAGAGGGTGGGGTGAGGCCTGAGGCGGGGGGGGGGGGCGGTCCAATCTGCCTGTCCCCTGACTGGAAAAGCCTGCAGAACCTCAGCAGGCCCATTCAGAGCTGCACAGAGAAGGAAGAGTTGTAGCAAAGAGTGTCTCCAAAGAGAATCATCATCATCATCATCATCATCATCATCATCATTTATTTATACCCCGCCCATCTGGCTGGGCTTCCCCAGCCACTCTGGGCGGCTTCCAACAAAATATTAAAATACAGTAATGCATCAAACATTAAAAGCTTCCCTAAACTGGGCTGCCTTCAGATGTCTTCTAAAAGTCTGGTACCGTATTTTTCACTCTATAAGACGCACCAGACCACAAGACGCACCTAGTTTTTGGAGGAGGAAAACAAGAAAAAAAATATTCTGAATCCCAGAAGCCAGAACAGCAAGAGGGATTGCTGCTCAGCCTGCATTCGCTCCATAAGACGCACACACATTTCCCCTTACTTTTTAGGAGGGAAAAAGTGAGTCTTATAGAGCAAAAAATACGGTAGTTGTTTTTCTCTTTGACATCTGGTGGGAGGGTGTTCCACAGAGCGGGTGACACCACCGAGAAGGCCCTCTGCCTGGTTCCCTGTAACTTGGCTTCTTGCAGCGAAGGAACCGCCAGAAGGCCCTCGGTGCTGGACCTCAGCATCCGGGTAGAACAATGGGGGTGGAGACACTCCTTCAGGTATACGGCTGCCTCTGACTGTGGAGGCAGAACGGACCCATCCTGGCTAGGAGCCATCAATAGTCATCTCCTCCTTCATGAATTTGTCTAATCCTTTTAAAAAGCAATCTGTGTTGGTGGCCAATACTGCCTCTTGTGGGAGGGAGTTCCATGGTTTAACTCTGTGCTGCGATAAGAAGGACTTCAGACCAGATGGCTGGGAGGTCGCCTGCTCTTGCTAGGGTTACACTTCCTCTGAAGGAGCAGCTTCATAGCTTGGGGGTCCTCTTGGATCCTTTGCTGTCACCCGAGGCTCAGGTGGCCTCCGTGGTCCAGAGTGCCTTCCATCAGCTTCGGCTGGTGGCCCAGCTACACCCCTTTCTGGACAGGGAAAGCCTAAAGACTGTTGTCTATGCTCTCAAGGTTAGATTACTGCAATGCATTCTACGTAGGGCTGCCTCTGAAGATGGTTCGGAAACTTCAGCTGGTGCAGAATTCAGCGACCAGGTTGCTCACCGGAGCAAGACAGTTTGAGCATCTTACGCCGATTTTGGACTGACTGCACTGGCTACCAATTAGTTTCCAGGCCCAATTCCAAGTGCTTGTTTTGACCTATAAAGCCTTAAACGTCTCAGGACCACAATACCTCAAGGGCCACCTCTTCCCATATGAAGCTACCCAGACCCTGAGATCATTTTCCGAGGCCCTTCTTCATGTGCCTCCTTCTCAAGAGGCCCGGAGGGTGACAACATGAGAGCAGGGCCTTTTCTGCAGTGGCTCCCCACTTGTGGAATGCTCCCCCCAGGGAAGTTTGCCTGGCACCTTCATTATACACCTTTAGGAGCCAGGCAAAACGTTCCTTTTTAACCAGGCCTTTGGTTGATCTGTTTGACATCCTATGCCCTTTTAAAATGTAGCTCTTGGGGGCAGGGTATTATTGGGTTATTGCTTTTATTTTTATTTTATATACTGTGATCTTTTTATGTGAACCGCCATGAGATCTCCAGGTATAGGGCGGTATATAAATACAATATATTATTATTATTATTATTATTATTATTATCATTATTATCTGTCCTGAATCTTCCAACATGGATTGCCCGTGAGTTCTAGTGTGAGGCAAGAGGGAAAGGAATGTTCCTCCATCCACCTTCTCCCCACCGTGCTGTGCCAAGACACTGGACAAATACAGATGTGTGCCAGCTGTGATAAAGAGGCAAGCTTTTGTGATGCCCTAAAAGGCTGTGCCCCAGGCTGGTTGGCCAGGGAACCCAGCAGAGGGGGGACACCCCATGTCCAGAAGTGGCACCCAGGACTCCCCATGCGAGGGACAAGCCTTCCTGAACAGTGGCGTAGCGTGGGTTGCACCCGGGGCAAGGCAAGTAATTTGCGCCCCCTAACCCGTGGATTTTAGCAGGGGGCAGAGAGCTGAGAGCGCGCCCCCCCCAGATGTTGCGCCCGGTGTGGCCGCCCCCCCTGCACCCCCCACGCTACGCCACTGTTCCTGAATACCACGTTCAAGATTGCCAAGTAGGCGAACACGGTCTGGTTTGAGTCTGAAACAGGGCCCTTCCCCCGAGGAGAAGACAGGCGAGAAGGAATGAGAAAGGGCAAATCTCTTCAGAATGCTTGCGGGTTCTTCAAAACCACAATAGGCTCTCAGCTAGAACAGCCGTCACTCATTGGGAAAAGTGCCACAGCGTCCGAGAGGATGCCAGCGTGGTTAAGGAGAAGTCAACAAATCGACAGGACCAAAAAGGGCTTCTTTCTCTACAAAATGCCCAAATGCGGAGGATAAACAGGAACTTTGGCAAGAGA